AAAAATAACGCCTCATACTAGCGGAGTTATAATCTGGCCCAAAATCTCATGCCAAAAGGACCCAATTAGGTAAGTAAAGGTAATGCATGTGACCCAAACACATCAGGCATCGGTGTGAAACAATGTGAAAAAACTAAAAAAAATTAATGTGGTGTATTAACATGCTGTTTACAAATCATTAGAATTCCTTAAGTTGAAGAGCTATTGAAAAGAAAATAGTTTCATTATGATTATAAAATTTACATTTTACGATTAATGTAATATGGTTAACAAATACAATTAAAGGATGAGATTGGCAAGGGAAAATTTGAGGCTTGATTTGGATCAAGATTTAAATTAGCGGGTCAATGCAACCTAAAATAAGGGTAACTCAGAACGATGAGAAGTAGAAAATACGCTTCAGAGGGACAACAGAATAATCTAAATACTTGAAAAAATACACGAGAATCCGCCTCAAAATAGCAGCATTTGAGTATCATCACCATCTGGTATATTTTTCAACAAGCAGTTATTAATAATAAGGCAAAATTGCGCTATCACCAGATCCATTTATACAATCCAAATAATTAAAATGTCTCAATTAAACAAATAGAATTCACATAGAATTAAAAATGATATAAAAGAAAAGGATTTACATATGTCAAACACGGGATGAAACAGCTCATCTTGCACTGCAAGTTGATTCGAAAAATAAAATATAAAGATAGGTGTTAGAAATTGGATACATTTTAAGAAGATTTGTAAGCAGATCTGGCTCGTTTTGTCATATCGTCTGAAGTAATGTCGGATAATTCACTGGCTTGAACCTCGAATTTGATGCCCTCACATAGCTTGCGAATAGCATCTTTGGAACCCGCGTAGATCAACTTTGACTTTACCGTGGCATCATCAGGAACCCTGCAGATAATAAAAATAAATAATATAACACACCAGTGGACAAAGCACAGAGTACTTCCGATAATTGAGTCGCAACAGTAATCCAAAACAGCGTAGCAGGGCTGGTTGCCTCTTTCGACCAACAAATTAAGAAAATCGTCAAATGTTGAAGCTAAGATGAGTTATATTTTTATATTAAGTATACATTTATCTAGAGTCTTTCCTGGACATATCTTAGTTGAACCACCTTCAGATCTGATTTCATAAACCACACAGAGATAAGCGTGCCGCATTTTGAGATCAAGAAAAATTGGAACACAACTAGGATCACATTGAATGCCAGTTGCCTGTAGAGTTAAAATCAATATAAAAAAAGAGATTACCATGACAGA